GGCAAGTTGGGAGGTAACCCCTAGATTAAAAGAGACTTAAGAGACATACTAACCAGATATAATGTCTGGATGTTTTTCAGTAAGTCCATGGAGGAAGAAACCATTATGAAATAATAGGGGAAATCAGAACAGTGATTTGATATTTGATAACATTAAAAAATTCCTGCTGTTTTAAGTATGATAATAGTATTATGATTATGTTTACAAAAAGAACACTGTTCTTTTAGGAATACATACTAAAATTGCTTACAAGAAATTATATGATATCTAGGAATTGTGTCAAAGTAATCAGCGGGAGGAAGGGTGCTATAGAACAGTGATACAGATAAAAAGATTGCTATGAGTTGATAAGTGATGAAGATAGGTGATGAGTATACAGGATTCCTCTCTTCTTTCATATACATTTGAAATTTTCCATAATAAAAAAGTTTTTGAAAGAGTCAAACTCAGTAAATGACTTAATTCCCAGAACTACAAGGTTAATCAAAAAGACAAAGTTAAAGTGCTTTGTAACTCTGCAATGATATACAAATATAAGGGCTAAAAGAGGGCATAATTGATGGAACAAAGTTAAAGGAAACCCTGAAGAATTAAACAAATATGTATTTAGAGAAGGGATTTACTGAGGCATCAGAGAACTCTTACTAGTTACAGTTACATGGATGGGTTATAGATACTGAAAAACCCCTGGAATAGTATATAAATTTTTACATGCTTTTGTGTACTCTGCACAAGTCTCTAAGTTTTCATTCTATTCTTAAAGGAGTCTATAACCCCAAGAAGATTATGTTCAATTGACTGATCAATGAGATGGATAAGGAAAAGCAATGAACCAGAGGTCTTCATAAAACTATCACAAAATGGGCATTGTGGGAGTAAGGGAGGGAGAAATGAAACAGCGAATAAGTCCTAGCAGACATCAAGATCTTCATCACTGATGCACATGGTGAAGTAAGTATAACTAATCACTAGGATGAAGGAGACAAAGAAAGTGAGGGTGGCTGTGAAGTCACTAACATAGAAAGGCCCAAGATAATAACAGATCTTGGAGGGGTAAGAAGACTGCGGGTCATGAATCTAAGTTCTTAATGAATATGACAAAATGCCAATAAATCATAGCAATCAAGAAATGCATAGACTGATATGAATGAATCACATGCTTTCCACAGGAGCAGGGATTTTTAGAAAAGCCTGTAGGAGCAATAAATTATAAACTATACTAGGGAATCAGGACAAGGCCAAACTCTCTCCCCAGACCCATTACAATATGGAAGAATGAGTTTGTTATATTTGAAAATGACTACAAGTAACTTACATAAAGAACTAAGAAATGGCTGAAAATGGAAGTGTGGTTACTAGAGAACAAAAGTCCAGAGGCACAGAAGGGGGACCACAAGAGACCATGGATCGTTAGGGAAGTCTCACGAGCTATCAGAATATGTCAACTTAAGAAACAAGTCTTATATTTATGACTGTCCCTAAAGGTGACAAGAATGAGGATGTTTAAGTTTTCTGGCTTCAAGTTTCCAAATGGAACTTTGTTTCTAAAGCACCAACGTGAGAGACCAGCTAGCGTGGAAACCCTAGCAATACAGATGGAAATCTGGTGTGTTTACTAAAGGCAAATTACATTAGAAATCATTGATCATGTCTGTAGATTACTGGGAGCAGAGGTTAGGGTGGGGAGTAAAGGAAAAAGGAACAGACAGAGCCACACATTTTAAAAAAATTAATAGGTCAACAAGAGGCCCCCTACTCCTCCCCCATCCTCCAACCCAAACCATTGTTAAAAATGCTGAGGATAGGCCAGGTTAAGGCCCCAGATGGTTCTCAAACACGTATGAAAAATCCACATTCAGCACGGCCTCAGGTGTTTCTGCCTTTCTCCTCCACAAATCCTTTAAGACCTTCTAGAAATCAGAGGCTGTGGAGGTCAGTACAACATGAGGTTACAGGGGTATAAGATACGTGATGATCACTAACAATTGACAGGTTTAGCCTTGAAGAGAGGGACAAGAAGACATTCCTCTCAGACGAGATAATACTGCGTGGAAAGTATAGGCAAGCTTGGGGGTAGAGGGAAAAGGAAACCAAGGATTTTATACCCCCAAGCTTCACATTTTGCAGAGAAATAGGAGGCTAGTCATCTGCTTCAAGTATAGTGAAAAGAAATGGATCTGAGTGCTTGAGAAGAGAAAAAAATCTGAAACAGTGGCTGTTGGTAACAGGAGAAGCAACAAGGGCTGAGTAAAGACAGCAAACAGTCTCAAAGGCCCACCGAGGTTAAAAAGCAGAAGTCTGCTGTTACGAAAACCACTAGTACAGTTTTATATTTTCTTCAAAACTGTCCAGGGACCACAAGACTACAGTCAATACCATACAGGATAAGTGCTACTGCAGAGTAAACAAAGGATGCTATGACGTCAAAGAGAGACCCTTGAGGCTTCGTGGTGGCAGTTAAGTTTTTGTGAATAAAAGTTAGCCCGGCTTAAATGGAGAGTGGATCCCAAAACATCAGCAAAAACACTTCCGCCTCGGAAAATCTAACAGTCGGAGTTGATTCGGGTATCTTAAATAAACAGTACGAATTTATTGTTCCTCTAAAGCTACCTGAACTTGAAATTAAAAGTCCTTATAAAGAAAGCTATCCTGAATCTACAGTTACAAGTACAAGGCGCAACATTTTCTTTGCACTGGGATAAGAAATCATATGGGTGAGTCATAATCATACGGGTTTCATATTAAATTCATGAAAAAACACAAATTCCTTTTACACAGAATTATAATGAATGCTACGAAAATTGTAAACAATGACGCTGCATTCCAAAATCTTTTTCTGGTGCAATGACCCATATAGTTGGCGCTCAATGACCGTCGATGTTTTGACATTTTACCCTGCCACAAGCTGGAGAATGCTTCCCTTCACTGCGTGGGAGGAGGCAGCACTCAAAGCGAGAAACCTGGGGAACACAATCAGATAATCAAAACAACACCCTGCCAGGTATACGGCCATATTCGGAGGTGAGGAATTCGAGAAACGATTTACCCGAAAATGTTACCGCAAGAGAGAAGCCAGTATCGGCGACTTCCCTTCGTTTTCCACAACAATAAAAACGTGCAAAGTTCAAAAGGCTGCCTGGAAGTCACCCGAGAGTCCACGGCCCCGCCCTCCGCCGCAGGCTCCCGGCCCGCGGCGGAGAGCGGGCTCGCTTCCGCTCCTCCCACCGCTCAGGGCAGGTCCAGGCCGCGCCACCTGCCTCGGAAGCCGCCCCGGACGCCGGTGAAGGGAGGGCCCGACCCCCAGACTTGCTGGTCCCTTGAGACCAACCTTATCGTCCCCGCTCTGCCACACTCGCGCTGGGACCCTACTCCCACTTCGGAAGCTCCTTTCTCCCGTCACCACAGGACCCACGAGCCTCGTTTTCCACCGCTTCTTCCGGCGTCCACCACCAACCCGGGAGCCCCTGTTACCTGATGACCACTCCCCGGGTCCCGTGTTTACATTCCGCTTGGCCTTTGCCCACCGGAAACGGAAATGATCATGCCCGACCTCCTACCAGCTTGCCTTTGGTGCCTGGTCTCCCAAGAAAGGGGGTTGGTCGACCCCAGGCGTCCGAGCCGTCGAGAGAAGCGAGCAGGGGCAGGGAAGAGGCGACTCTGTGCGCTTTTCTCATCCGCAATCCCCGCGCCAGGACTACAAATCCCAGAAGTCACTGCGGCCGCCCCCACTCCATTACCCTCCGGGGCTGGTAGTCGGGCACGCCCAGGCGGGAGCGCCCTCTAGCGGCGGACGGGAGCGTGACGCGCCGGCGCACGCATCACGGGAGCGCTGGGAACTGCGGCTGCGCGGGCCGAGTGCGGGTCCAGAGCACAGCCCTGGCGGTACCGCGTGACCCATCCCGTATGCAGGTAAAGCCTACGAGTCACGGGTAATTCAGAGCACGACGCGTGGTCTTCACTAAAGGAGTTAACAGCTTAGTTGGTGAGGTCGGCCAGACGCAGAGGACAGAGGCATTACTCGGTTGAAAACGTTCAGGGACGTCTGTGGCTCAACTGTCGGGGAAAAACCCGCCAAAAGTTGGACCCATGTTCTCTAAAGAAGAATTATGGCCTGAAAGTAGTTGCCTTGAAAATAAATAAGTGGGGACATGTAACAAATACAGGGAAGTATTTTAGGAAGATTGAAAAATTAAGATTGTTGATTTCTCAATGTTCCTGTCTTGTGCAGAGGAAGAACGTTTTTTTAGACCAGATTTTCTCAAATTCAACACTGTAACTTTTCTAACTGGATAAACTTCTGTTGGGAGAAGGGGAGGGAGGCTGTCATGTGCGCTGCCAGGTGCTCAGCGGCATATGTGGGCTCCACCCACTAGACGCCATTAGCATCCTCCACCACCACCATCGGTGACAACCAAAAATGCCTTCAGATGTTGCCAGATGTCCCTGGAAGGAAGATGGGTCTCCCATCCTTGCCCCATTGAGAACCACTGATGTGGAGCAGTGATTCTCCAAACGTGATCCTCAGACTTCTGAGGGTCGTCAAGATCCTCTAAGTCCAAACTATTTTCATACTAACATGAAGACATCATTTGCCTTTTTCACGGTGTTGACACTGGCACTGAGAGTGGAAAAACTAGTGGCTAAAACCATTAGCACTCAGCACGAATCAAAGCAATGATACCAAGCTGTACTAGTGGTCATTGTATCCTTCACCAGCACATGCTGAGTGAGGGGGAAAATGCAGTCACTCAGGAATGTCCTTGATGAAGCAGTAAAAACTGTTTTATTAAAATGACCCTTGAGTACGCACTTCTTTTTAATATTCTGTATGAAAAAATGGGAGGTAATCATAAACTACTTTCGGTGTATGTTGGAGTATGATGTCTCAAGTTAAAAGGACTTGTGAGATTAAATTATAAACTGAAGTAGGTAACTTTTTTTTGTGGAATACAACATGCACTTCGAAGGACTGACACACCTGCTGGTTATTCAGGCTTGGGCCTGACAGGCATTTTCTTAAAAGTGAACAAAGGGTTCAAGAAAAACAACTAACAGTGTTGCCAATGATAAAATTTTTCAAGAATTAAGCAAAAATTATGATTTTGGAAAACTTGTATTTGCCATAATTTTCTTGCTGCTTCCCAGTACTTCTAGACTTTTCTGATTTGATCTGTGGTGGTATCAGATGTGATTTTTATTTATATTGTTGGGTTAAATGTTTCAACATTTGTAAGAGCGGCAGAAGTGAACCAGTATGTTCAAGACGATCAATACACAATTGTGGTAGCCAGCCTCCAAGGTGGCTGCCTATGACTCCGCTCCTGGGATTCCCACTCTTGGTGGTTCCTTCCCACCTTACACCCAGATTGTTCTGCGTTGCCTACAGAATAGGGCAGAAGTGATAATATGTCACTTCTGATATTAATATAAAAGACACTACTAAGGGGGTAGCAATGTTTCTTCATCTGGGTGGAGGTTTACCTGGCCACGTTCACTGCAAACCTGAAACAGTGAAAACTCATCAAGCCAAATATTTATGATTTGTGCACTTTTCTGTGTACATCATACCTCTATAAAAGTCTTTAAAATACAGGTATCTCCCTAACAAGGCTCTCAGGATTTACGCCTTTTGGTCACATATGCTGTGCTTAGCTCATAGTAGCCATGTGAGGGGATATACCTTGTGGAGCAAATAATTAAATGGTGCTTGAAGCTGTACCCCTTTCTAGGGGTCTTCCCTAAATCTCTCAAAGAACTTAACCTTGATCCACTCCACCCTGGTAAAGGCTACCTCCAATACTAAGTCTTTACACCTCACCGCCACTTCCTTACTCACTTTGGTCTATGATCATGATGCATCTATTGATTTATTTAATAATTTCCCATACTGTCTGCTTATAGACAACACGATCATCGTCCATGTTGCTAGAAAGCCTCTAAATTTGTTATAATGTTTATTGTTATTCATAATAAGTAGAACAGTCTATTTTTTTACAAAACAACTAGAACAGTTCAATAAATGATTTTTCAATTCTCTTGAATTTCTTGTACAGTTTCGTTCAGTCAGGGTAAATGATTTTACCCAGAGTAAATAAGTCCCTAAAAGAACCACCTATGTGCTGTTCATAACACTCTTATTTTTGTTTTTCTTTTTGGTGGGGGGGGGGTACTAGGTTTCTTTATGAATTTTTAAATTAATTTCTTGTTTTTTATTGGAGGTACTGGTGACTGAACTCAGGACATTGTGCGTGCTAAGCATGCACTCTACTGCTGAGCTGTATCTTCGCCCATAACACTCTTCAGTACTGTTTCCTTTTGTTACAATTATAAAGCTATTTTAAAGATTCAGAATGGCCGACAATCTAACACAAACCCTGCCAACAGTGCCCCCTGGGATGTAAGATTTCTTAGCAGCCAAAGATAACTGCTTTAACTTTTGTTGAATACAACTTAATATTTTATTCAGGTGGTTAAATTTTAGAGGAAACAAAAACTCACTAATTTAGATGAGACAAAAGTCACAATATTCAAGAGCTAAAATTTGGTCAAGCACTATATTTTACATTTAGGCACATTGTTTAAAAGGTGCACAGATAGTTGGCCTTTTTTTTTTTTTTCAATTTAGTTTTCCCAGAAGTTAAAACAGTTAAGCACATTATAAACCTATGAAAAATGATGTTTTTCTTTATTATCCATTTTCCAAATCAAAGTATTTGAAATTGTATTCTTTAATATACTCTGGTCAAAACATACATGAACATGTCTAAGAAATATTGTACCACAAAGACTGATTTCTACTCTACTACCAACTTACGGTTACGTTGTATGTGGACTTTCATTCATCTGGTCAAGAGAACTCACAATGAAAATACGATTTCTATTGTGGATGGGAGCGATGGAAGGAGTCAAGAGGGAAAGATTTAAACACATTTTTTTTCCCCTTTCATCTCAAAGGTACATGGAGTTCTACATCCACCCACAGTCCACCAATCATTAACTTAGTGTGAATGGTATTTCTGCAAGGTCAAAAAGGGTGGAGGGGTTGGGTGAGAGGGCTGGACTTTATATAAAATCACTTAAAACTCTGAAAAACTACAAAACCATCCCAAGAGAAAATATAATCAAAGTAAAAGCAATGGAGTTTATTTCAGTGAAATTATTTTAAATTAGCTATGATATATTAAGCTCCCATATTCCCCAACCTGGTAGAAAAGTTCCTCTCAGCGAGAAGTCATTTATTTAAATGGCAAAACTTTTACATATCAGTAAAATCTGTTATATTTAAAACTATGTATACAGTACATTTCTGGCAGAAACCTTATACATCTTTCAGTTGTCAAGACAAAGTAAAAATATGGTTGCATAAAATCACAAAAAAATATAAATTGCTGAAAACATAATAAAAAAAGATTAAAAATCATTTGCATTAACTCCCTTACATTTTCAATTAGTAAGAATTTGCTAACAATAAATTTGTGAAAATTCTGATGCAACCTTGACATACTCATCCAAAAGCTGTCATTTCAAATATCCCACCTTAAAAAAGAATTTACTGCAATAGTTTGTGCATTTATACTATTTGTACAAGTGCAATATTTAAATATCTTCAAAATAAAACTCAGTAACTAAAAGGAATCACAATAACTTAAAAAAGAAGCAAAGTTTACAAAATTAACAATTTTTAGAAGATCCTATTTAACTGGTTCCTCTTTTTGTTTCTCACGTCTCATAGCAGGTTATAAGGACATTATAACAATGTCTTAGTTCTATATACAAATCTGTAGCTTTAAAAATACAGTCTTCTGTTCTTAACATTAGGAACATAATGCTGCATTTAGAGAGCCTACACAAAGTCAACATCCCCAAAACAGAGAGCCAATACAAGTTATAAATACAGTTGGAACTTATATTTAAATAGAACTCCTATAATTGTATTCAGCTTTCAGATTCTAAGTTGAATAGAACAAACCCTGGACAAAGGAAGCAACATTTTTCTTTTGAATTCAGTGCATGTTTCTAAGGGTGCTGGAGCCAAATCTTCAACGACAGTAACTATGCAAGCTGTCATGACATTTGAGTACATTATTTATCGTCTGTTTACGTAGGTGCTCACTGTATTTGCCAAAAACAATCCTATAATACAAAGAGTCTTAAAATAGAAAACAAAGATGGTTCTGTTGCAATGGAAAAGTAATTAATACCAAAAAAAATTTCTTGAAGTTAAAATAGTATAAGGCAATTATGAGTGATACAGTATTTTATTTTTTATCAGCATACCCATGATACAAATTTTATCTGAGGTGACTCTAAATCTTCTCTTACACCTACTATGCAATGCATTATACTAAGAGCAAGAAAAACAAACAGAAATCAGAGCTCTTAGGAAGATTAAGCGTCTTTAGGAAGTTCCCATAATGCTGCCTTTTAAAAAGTAATTAAAATCCAAAACAAATGTCATCATTTAGAAGAACTGATTTGTTTCATGTTTTATCAAAATAATAATAATGTAATATCTGACTAAGGAGACATAACTAAATGTAATGTGTAAACTTTAACTGGATCCTGGTTTTAAATAAATTTGGAGGACAATGGGGGAAATCTAAATATGCATGATTAGATAGCATTAGGGAAATATTAATTTTGTAATGGTATTATGATTTTTTTTTAGGAGAACATCATTATTTTTTAGAAGATGTTTAAAGTGTTGAGAGGTGATGAGTGTATCTGCAATGTTCAAATGGTTCAGGGGAAAAAAAGCATATAAACACACACATATATATATATATGTGAAACTGTACCTATATACAGATACAGAGATAAAACAAATATGGCAAAATGTTAATGAGTGTTGAATCTAAGTGGTAGATACAGATG